AAAGTCCTGGCTGAGGCTTTGGACTGCGGGTTCTGTGAAGCCTCTGGGACAGCTCTATCGTTCTCCAACTGCATTAAGGAGCCAGTATCTGGCCTGGGATCGCTACTGTACATATGCTGTTCAAACTCCGAGAATGGAGAGACGAATATTTCTGGAACAAATAAGACCCACCGTAGCCGACCAGATTAACGCGAAAGAAACCAGTCTTTGATGTAAACACGAAGTTTGCTGCTGAATTCACATTTTGCTGTGTATAGAAACCAAACAAGCGAACATATGAAGAACAGGAATCAATAGTCTTTTCTTCAAGTTTCTTTGCCAAGCATTATTGTGCAAAAGCAAAAAAAATCGAACCCTAGCTCACTGGAATTAAAAACAGAACACCGGCGCTACAGATTAGTCCAAAATAAAGATCCATTAGTCCAAAATCTCATCCATTCTTGACTTACCTCATTCCTTAGTATTTAATGTATTCTTTTCAAGTTTGAATTTCTGTGTTTGCGATATCAAACATATAAAAACAACCGAAAACAAGCTTGATCTCGAGTGCATACTTCGAACACGATGGGCGTTTTTTTGTATCTCGCCCCAGTCCCCTCCGCGCAAATTATCCATCCTGACTGCGATCTCAAAACCATGTCCACCTTTCACAGCAGTTTGTGAGGAAACAAGCACTGTGACCCCCGATTTATTTTCCAGGTATTTGCTAAGAACAGTCCAATAAAGAACGTATTTAAAGAAGAAAGAAAGTTTGATAGTAGAACATGATTTCTCGGGGGAAAATAGTTTCGCATTTGGTGTATTTGGGTCAAGGCGAGGACTTCAAGCTAACCACGGAACTGTCCGAAAAAGTGCAATATCCCCACAACCAGGCAATCAAAAACGAATTAAATGAAGTAATACTGCTTATTTCAATAAAAGAAGCTCTATGTTCAAGATAAAATTTTGTGTGTTTCAAGTAACAAAGACTTAATTCTGTAAGAAGGGGATTCGAATTTTTAACGCCCAACCATTAAAAATACCCCAGTTTAAGAGCCTGATGACGCGTAAACAAGCACGGTGACCCCATCTTTTTATTACATTTTTTCAATGTTCATATCATGAATGTTGATTATGCCAAGTTCCAAAAACGTTTGATAGTAGAAAAATTTCAAGGGAATTACCTTAAGCGGCACCGTATTAAGCAGTCACCCTCTATTAAGCTGTCAGTTTTCAAAGTCCCGAAAGTTACGTCCCTTGATACACTGTAATTTCGACCTCTATTAAGCGGTCACCTCCATTAAGCAGGGGCACCCAACGAAAATATAGATCAAAACCGCTTAACCATAGCATTGTTAAACGTAATTTAGTAAACGGTAGATATAGGCATATTTTTTTCCCCTAAAAATTTTTCATCTGTTCGGATTTCCTAGCTGAAAGTCTAGTGATGCGAAAATTATAGGGATCAAAACTTACATTTTCGAAAATTTCAGCCAGAAAAAAGGCTCCCGAAAATTCTAGGTGACCTTTTAAGGGTAAAAATCTGTTAAAAATGGGCAATTATACCATTTTTAGATGTTCGAAAATCCTACGAGAGGCAGGCAAGCAAGAAATTTTACAACAAATGTTCCGAAAATTCTAGATCTCAAATGGTCTTCCGTACAGATATTTTCTGAAAATTGTCGTTGGGTGCCCCTGATTAAGCGGTCGCGGTCACCATTCTCTATTTTCCAATTGCCCAAAATACACTCTGTTTGCCCCCCAAATTCTGCATAAACCATTGTTTTTAAATGCTCCTGGGAGTATTGCATTTTCCCAAGAACATTTTAAGACAATAAGTTATGCAAAATTTGGGGGGCAAACAGAGTGTATTATGGGCAATTGGAAAATAGTCAATTTGCGAAGTCCCAACGAGACTTTTTCTATTGTCTTAACCTGTATTAAACGGTCACACGGTGTTCATGCAGTTTTAAATAATGTAACAGACGAGGTACAACAATTGATTTCCTTGTTTATTTTTGCAAATCATTAAAACGTCGGAAATGAATGTGTCTATTTGAGGTCTAGCGTCTGTTCTGATCAGCACTGGAGATCAAATTCTTTGAACTGTATTTCTTGCAACCTGTATTAGGCGGTCACTGAGCCATTCCCCAAGGATGACCACCTAATACAGGTTCGACTGTACTTAATACTCTGAGGGTTCCGGCTTGCAAACACTCTCCAGATTTACAAGGGCAAACCAAGCTAAACCTAGCCTGAATTTCATCCGATTGCTTCAAGTCGTTTTTTCCTCTCAGCAACGACGTCCGGCTGATGGAGTAATAACGACTGGAAGTGATGGGATGAAATTCAGGCTAAACTAAACGCGGTTGGTTCACAATTTGGTAAATGGTAAGCAAAATTCAGGACTGGTAAATTTCGGCCTGAAACAGGTATCGAAGATGGCTTTAAAGAAATGAAACGCGAATTTCCGTTTGACATCTTCAGATGTTCTAATACTCCCGAAATTGTTCCCTTGGAATGACCCAAAAAAGTCATGTCCCATTTACTGGCCAATCGGATTTTCCGGAATACAGTTTTGTAAAAGATAAACAACCGTGATTTCAGGCGATGCAAATTTTCTATTCTTTGAAGACACATTGAATTCTTATTACACAACACCGAAAGAACCCAAAACAGAGCGGGGTTGTAGCCTGGTTTGAAGTCTGTTACGCTGATTTATATATCCTTTTTGGATGGTCGTTCTCTCATCAAGTCAAATTTTGTAGTTTAAGGCTTAAGATTTCCACCTGGGTTGTTTGTGTAAATGGTAAGCATTCCAGGGTAGCCTGAGTCCGATCCCTCTGGGGACCACACCATTTTACTTCTGAGAGGGGGAGGGGGCTTGGGTGATTTGACGTATGCATGATGTTATTTTCAACCCCTTCATTCACCATGCTTTTTTTTCTTGGTGTATGCACTTGCATGATACTTTTTTTCTCCCTCCAACACTTTGCAGGATTTGGGGTGGATAGGTTGAAAAATAAGGCTTTCTTGATTTAGGGAACACGTAAAACATTGTTCACAGCACCAGCTGTGATTTTGAATTTGGCGAAAAAACAGGTACCGGCAGAGACCGCGGAGCATATTTTGGATTGCTGCAGACTGCAAAACAGTCCGTATTTTTGCGTATTCAAGTACGCGCGAGCAGTCAAACAAAGGTCTGGAACGAGGCTGAAAATCGAGAGCGAGACTGGCGAGAACGGGCGTGTGAGGCTCGACTCTTATGCCACTCTTTACCGATTTCTTAACTGATTTTGAGAAAAAAAACGACTGTTTTGCAGTCTAGGATTGTTGAAAGAACCCGAAACGCGTTTATTTCTTTCAATTCTGAGATTAATTTTGTCCAATTTTTATACAAAAACGTACAGCTAACAAACAAAATTGTGTTTGCTTTTAACAAAAAGATAAGAAGTACTTTTGTTAAATACGCCCCCTCCCCCCCC